GCGCCCCCAGAGAAAAGCAGTCACTCCCGTCTCTGTGGCTCCGGCCGCAGTCCGTGCTCACCCGGCCTGTGACCGAGCGTTTCTATCTCTGGCACCTGACCCCGTGCGGAGTCTCCAAACCAAGATGGGCTTTTCTTGAAAGCAGACATGGGTTGTAAAAATGAGGGGTAAGATCTGTATGATACTATTCTCTTCTTTGGGAGGCAGATGGGGGCTTATGCCTTCAGTTCAGTGAGAGTGTGCATTGATTAAAGGCTGGATTGAAGTTTTGGCAAGACTGTCTACTCATTCATCATTGCCCCCATGCCTTTCAGTAAAGAGCCTGATGCTGGCAGTCTCTCTAGACCAGTAGAGTCCAGCCTTAATCTACATCCCATCAGCTCCATTAGATATTTAGAACTTGGCTCTGCATTATAATGGTGTTTTGCTTGACTTCTATGCTGCCTGTCTCCTGTAGCTTTAGAATTTGGGAAGAGCAACTGTTGTGGGTTTGTGTCTTTGTCCCTTCTTTTGGGGATTTTGGCCCCTTGGGTTTCCAATTTCTTACCCTCCAGATGCTAAAGGCTAGTTTTTCTGCCTGTTAAAAGTGGGCCACTGCCTGGACCCTTCATCAGGATTGTCTATACCCAGAATTAGGGTGATATCTGGAAGCAAGGTTAAATCAGCTCCTTTTTCCACACCATTGTTCCTCCTTTGGGGATTTTCCCCCTCAAGCGCTCCATCAGCACCCTAGGAGACCTTCACAGAGTGTGCACCCCCCTACCCATCCATCCCATTTAGGTTTTCTTCTTGTTCTCAGAAGGAGTATTCCTTGGCCCCAGTTCCTACCATGTACCCTAAAAGATGAGCCTCATAGTTGGGCTGCGTGCAAATAGAAAGGACTCTTGGATGAAGGTGGCATCCATCTGTCTATAGGGGAAAGTCAAGTCTCTCTGCCAAAAGGCCAGCAGAATAGGCGATGTGCACAAATTCTGACGTTGGGCTAAAACAAAATTGATAGTCTGTTGTTACTGGGATCTCTTGGTGTTCCAGGCAGCCTCTCACTAAGGACATTTGCTCTTCCTGAGTGTTAATCTCTTGGCATGAGTTTAGTGGAAAATGTCATCTCTGGCCAACTGCAGTAGCAAGTTCTATCGGGTTAGCAAGAGGGATCTGTTAGTCTTTGGAGGCCGGTGCATGACTCTGAGAGTTGGCATTGGTTTTAACAGCTCAGAGGCAGTCCAGATTCAGTACTGAGCAATGCTGCTTTACCCCAGGAGTCCAGGCTTTCTTTCTGTCATGCTCCTTACCTACGACTGCAGCATCTCTGGGCTGTTTTCCAAGTGGGGATAAGGCACTGCATCATAGTTGGAGAGGGAAGTTTGTTTTGAGCATGGGTTTGTGGATGGCATTGCATATTGAGGGCAGAGAACTAAGAAGAGAAAGTCCATGGACTCACACTGTTTCTTTCCCTTGCTTTTCAGCAGCCTGCACAGATAAGGAGTTGAGGAACCTTGCGTCCCGGCTGAAAGACTGGTTTGGAGCCCTTCACGAGGATGCCAACAGAGTCATCAAGCCCACCAGCTCTGATGCAGCTCAAGGCAGTAAGACCACTTTATTCTCACTAATTGATTTCATTTTATGTACCACATTTCCTTAGTGACTAGACACTGTTGATTTAACAGTAGCCTTTTGGGGTAATCAAAGAAACACTATGTCAAATGCACACACCAACTTAAAATATTTTCTTGATTCCCACCCCCTCGTCCATATAACAACTTAATTTTTAAAAGTCTGGCCATAGAACTATCCTATGTCTAGTATAGAGACTTTGGAAAGTACAAAAACTATTTAAAAATTCACCATTTTAACAACTGTAAGCATGTTGTGGCATTTACTTGCATTTTTTTCCTTGCCATACAGAAAAAAAAAATCTATGTGTCTTTGTATGTACATACAACACACACTTCACAGGCTGTCTTACGACCTTTTATCACTCAGCAACATACTTTGACCTTCTATGTTGTTGAGTAGTATTGCACTTTGTAGTAGCTACATAGGATCTCAAGTGATAGAATTTATGTAATTAGGCCTCTATTTTGGAGCGTTGAAGTCATTCCTAATGTTCAGCTTTCATAAGCAACTCTGTACCACACATCTTCAATAATGTATCCCCCCCTCCATCAGTGCATTGGCAGAGCCCGTATTCAGAGCTTCTTCATAAGCTAAAGAGAAAACTCAGAGTGGGTGAGCATTTGTGTACCTTGATGGACTCTCTCATTGAACTCAAAGGTGATTAGGGGTAGGCTTCTCCACGCTGTGGCCCAGTGGCTCAGAATGTCCTACCCAATAACACAGTTGTTGAAACATAGGGAGTTTTGCAACTGTTAAGGTTCCAGAGCTTAACCACCCTCTGGTCTTTGGCCACAATAAGAACAGTTGCCTTAATTTTGGGTTATTCTTTGTGGCTTGTAGCTATAGAGACTGGTAGAGATTATTGATCTAGGGGACAATTCTTGTACTAGTTTGGATCTTATAGTTTAAGGGAAAGATAGTGTTTGCTTCTCAGGATCTAAGTATCCAAAGAGTGGTTTCAGGTGGTTGAGTCTGTGGGAAAGAAGAAAGAAGATAGTTCTTCTCCTAGTCCTGCTGGAGGCTTCCTTGGGAGTTTGTGGACAATTAATTCACAGATGGTCTAGAGGAACTTTTCCCTGGGATCCTCTAGGAGCAGCCCAGCCCTCGGGCTTTCTGAACAACCTTTCAAGGAAGAGCAGAATGATATGCAGAGAGCTTCTCCTTGCAGCCTCCAGTCCCATGAGACTCCTTCTGCAGGCAGCTGGGGAGCTAGCAGAAGACTTGCCTTTGGGCCAGAAGCAGATTGAGTCCCCAAAGAGGCTTTTAGGTTTGATGTCCCGAAGCAATTGCAGTGAAGGGAATATAAAGGAACAAGGCTTGGTTAGCCCACAAGACCACAGGAGGGAGAGTTGTTTTTATCAGTTCAGGAGTTGTGAAGAGGAAACCATGGAACCTTAGAAGTCCACATGCTTGGGGCCACCTAGAAGGGCTGTTCTCTCCCCCCCCCACCTCCACCTCTAGATACCAGATGCAGGTGCCTTTTCTCTAGAACCTTCCAAATGGGTGTTGGGGAGGTGGGGCCTTGACCTTTAGACTACTGCCCAACCAGCTTGGCACTTTTCTTTGGTGGTCAGTGAGCGGGAAGCTTCTCTTGGCCATGTATTAAAATGTTAATATCCTGTAAAACTGATGCTTATTACATAAAATATTCTATATAAAACTGTGGAGCCATTTAGTGTCAGCATAAATGATCTTGCTTTACTCAGCAGCCCCTAAGGACATCCCCATCGTAGAGATGGTACGATCATGACCTTCAAAGAAGAGGCCCTATTATGTCTCCTAGTCTCTCTTGAGAAGGGGGATGTTTTCTAAGACATGTTATAAGGTGTCAATGGGAATACATTTAAAAGCTGATTTTTATGTTTGAAGGGCCAAACTCTGCAGCAGCTAGAGAACTTCTCTCAACACATGCTTTTACTGAGCACTTATTACCTGCCTGCACTGGTAGAGGCTACTCAACGCATTCTTTGCCCTCAAGTTGCTTAGCATCTGATGAACGTGAACTGACAGTAAGGGGAAGCAGAGGGTTCTGGAAGAGCTCAGAGGTGGAGATGCTATACTTACTTCACTGGTTTCTGGACAGTAAAGACCCTTTTGTAGAAAACCAAGGCTTTTAAAAGGGTGGGTGCCCTTTGCTGTGTCTCACATCTTCCAAGCAGGGGTTGGTGATGCACACAGCAACCCGCTGAGCAGGGAGTGGGCAGTCAACCCCATCAGGGCCTCAGATGTGGCTGCTGTATCCCCCCTTGCACTGCCCATCCTGGCCAGCTGGATGTCCTCAAGGTAAGAGGATCACGTGAGGCACAGGCAGCCCCGGGAGAAAAGGGATTGAGAATGTAGACTCAGGGCTGGGCCACCTGCCATAGAAGCCTGGGTCCACAATTATAGGATCTTGAACAAGTCACTTAAGCCTTGAGTTGTTTGTTTTTTGTTTTTTTTCCGCCTTCTGTAAAGTAGAAGGCATACAGCATTTTAGAGGACTCTTTAGAAGGATTCAGTGAGATAATTAAAAATAAGGTGCTTAGAGGACTACCTTAAATAACAGAAAAATGAACTTTTACAGTAATTTTCCTGGGAAAATAAAACCACTTCTACAAATCCAACTTATGGAACAATTTGAAATTGCATAGTGCTTTTGATTCTGAAAGAAAGACCAATTTTAGATTTGGGGCAGGCCTTCTCTGGGGGTTGTCTACAGTAGACTCAATATCCTGAGTGTTAAGCAAAGTGTTATTATTCTAGTGCATACGGTTCCATTGTGGAAACAAATAATTCTTTAAGAAAACTACCCCTCCTCCCCCAGGGAAATAAGAAAGAAATTATTGTCTGAGTCAATTTGGATTCCATATCATGTATCTCTTGAGGGGACTGCAGAAAAGAAGAATGGGGAACAGAGGCAGGTACCTGGCTTGTTTTCCCATTAAGGTTCAGACGGCTTGGATTTAACAGTCCTTTGGGACATAATCAGTGCTTCTGGATTGTGCTATATGGTTTCATTTCACTGCCATCTTTTTTTACGATAGTTTCTTTTGTTTTGGTGTTTCGGGTATTTTTCCCTACATATAAAAGTGTAGCTTGCAGAATCACAAGTTTTTCCTTTTACTCACCATGTTTGTACTCTTCCTTTTGGGCATACCCTGTTTTAAGCAAGTCTGGTAAATGAAAACTCATATTTACATCCCAGATAAATTAGTGTTGGGGAGTTTGTCCCTTTGGGACATACTTTTCTCAAACGCTGATTTCTGTTTAAGAGCATTTTAAATTATTTTATTTAACTCCCCTCCAACAATAGTATCTTCTAGTAGGGTGCCCCTGAGACTGACCCTTGGAGGGAACATGCCTCAGGAGGGGAGGGGGAGGGGTGTGGGCCCTGGGCCTCCTCTTGGGTGGGGCCAGACCAGGCTTGGTGGCCACTGAGATGCACCCTTTTCTCTGCAGGATTTGACACCAGCATCCTGCCGATCTGCAAGGACTCCCTGGGCTGGATGTTCAACAAGTTGGACATGAACTATGACCTCCTGCTTGACCACTCAGAGATCAATGCCATCTACCTGGATAAGTATGAGCCCTGTATCAAGCCTCTCTTCAACTCCTGTGACTCCTTCAAGGATGGCAAGCTCTCCAACAACGAATGGTGCTACTGCTTCCAGAAGCCTGGAGGTGAGGCAGGGGAAGGTGGGGGGTCCCGCACTCAGGGCAGCCACCCTGGGTGCCGAAGGCCTGCGTATCACATACTAGAGAGGCAGGTGGAGGTCGGTAGGCCAAAGGACACAGCTAGAGAATAAAGCAGTCAGCTGACAGAATGGCAGATGCAAAGGCTCTTTTCTTCTCATTTATTTTATTTTTATCATTGTATATTAGAAAATCCAAAAGCATATTGAAAGGGCCCATTACCTCACTCCTCCTTGGGGAAAATCCCTTAACCATCCTGTGCCTCAGCTTTTACATCTGTAAAATGGGTGTAGAAACCTTTGCTACATCATTGCCAACATCCCTGTGAGATCCTTTATGTGAGAAACACTGTACAAATGGACAAATACCGTAATGCCCCTTGTCACATGAATTCTCCATGTTCCCCTTAGAGAAAGCCTCTTCTCAGCTTCTCTGGGGTAAATACGGGTTTATCCTGAATCTCCTAGGCAAGAATATTTTGGTTATAAACTCCAGCTCACTTAAGAAACAGACGACATTTGAGGAGGAGGAGTATGTGGAAAGAATACAGGAGCATCTCATGTCATGGCAAGTCAGACAAGAGAGTTGCCTGCAGCCTCTCAGGAATCCAGAGGCAGGAGCTCTGAGTCTCCAGGAGGGGCCACATGGTCTGAGTTTCCTTCTTCTGTCTTAGCTTCCTGGGCTTGTGCACCCAAGTGTGGCGATTCACAGCTAGTTGGACTAGCAGAGAGTGGCTTGTATCTGAATTCCAGTCCCACATCCCAAAGCTGGCTCAGCAGGAGTCAGGGATCATAGATAATCTACTCCGAGCATGGCTATGAGAACCCAGGAACAGAAGATGGCTACGAATATTATAGTTTTAAAAAATTATGTGTGTGTCTAGGCCTTCCATGCGCTCAGAGTCACTGTACACACAGCAGAAAATGTAGGCATTGCAAAAGGGCACCCAGTGTCAAGTACATGTATCTGTTGGTAGGACTACAAGATACATTCCTAAAAGCAGAATCACTGGTTGTAGGGCATGTGCATTTTTAATATAAGTATTATTTCCAATTTGCCTTCCAAAATGGTTGTACTACTTTTTACTCTTACCAAGAATACCTGGTTCTCTGTGGTGTCATTTTTGGTGTGTTTTAGGAATTTTCCCTAAGTGGAGGATATTAGTACTGTTCTGGTCACATGTATTGCAAATATTTTTTCCCCCAACTTTGACTTGGTGCATTTTTGCTAGGAAGAAATTTTTCAATTTAGTAATGTAAAGTTTCTCCATCTTTTATGGTTTTTCAGAAGCCATAGGGCTTACATTAAGCTTAGAAAGGTATTTTGTACCATGAAATACTAAAGCAATTCTCTTGTGTTTGTGTTTTCATCAGTACCTTTTGGTTGGTTGATTGTCTGTTGAAATCTTGTATCACTTTAGATTTTTTCGGTGTGTGGTCAGGTGGGGTCCCAGACCCTACCCCCACCCCTGGAGAGGGTTGTTCAGTTACGTTTCTGTCGTTTATTGACTAACCCATCATCCTCCTCTAATTTGAATGCTTCCTCTATTGTATATAAAATTTCTTCATCTATATCTGTCTATTCCTACATCTAGTGGGGCCCTCCTCTCCTGCCACTAATCGTTCAGAATTTTCCTGGATATTCTTATGCTTATTGTTACACGTCTTATTAATCTAGAGAGAATTGATAGCTATGTAATATTGAATCCTTTGATTCTAGAACAGCATCTATTAACCAACAGAGTTACCTTTTTAAGTTTTGTTCCCACAGATACTATACTTCCCTTGTATTTATCCTCCTTGTAAACGAAATTGATTTTTTTTTCCATTATATTTCTTTGCTGGTGGTTGTTTCAGGATTCATTTTGTTCACAGGCACCTTACTAAATTCTCCTTTTGTTTGTAATAATTATTCTGGTTGGTTTCCTTTGATTTTTTCAGGTGTGCAATTGTATCCTCTGCAAAGTAATCATGTTTTTCTTTTTCTATTTTTATATCTCATCTCTTTTCTCATCCTATCAGCTGGTACTTCCAAATTAGTGTTGGTTGAATAAAAGCCACGTTCTTATCTTAATAGAAATACTTGGAGTGATCCAGTGCTGAGTATTAAGATGGCTTTGGGCTTGAGTCCACATAATCTCCTGTGACTGTAGCCAGGGTTCAGGCTTAACCTAAGTAAGCAAAGCCTCAGTGCTCATGCCTCCCTCAGAGGTGTGAACGCTGGGACCCCGAGGGTGAGGCTTACTGCCTTTACTCAAGGACAGAGGTGGTCACCGCGCCATGTGGATTCCCTGGGTGGGCCATCCTTTGAGCAACGGCTGAAGGAGGCCAGAACCCCCTCGAATGGCACATGATGGCATCTAGGTAGGAGAAGTTGGGCCAAGTACAAAGTCAATTTGTTGTAGTTCTTTGTTTCTTATTTTGTGTGCTTCCCTCTTTTTCTTAAGTAAGCGTCTTTATTTTTTCTTGGGTTCCCACCACCTCCCTCCCTGACCCAGAACCAGTTCTGGGAATTCTGTTTGCTCTCCACATTTCTTCATTATTTCCTGTTGATTAATGTGTGTATTCAAGGCTAAAATTTTTTCTGAGGCACTCGTTTAGCTATAGACCATAGGTATTCCATACGTGGTATTTTTACTAGGATAAATGTGTAGATATTCTACAATTAAGGCTCTGAGTGCCTCTTAGGCCCCAGAAAATTTTGAGAGCACATTTTTATAATTTTACATGTGGTAGGATTATTTGTTATTTTTCTTTAGTTTTATGTTTGGGTTTTAGAACTTTTTTTCAAAAATTCTCACTGGAATTCTATTCCTTGAAATAACACTTGAATATTTGTAAATATTGCTGTTTGCTTTTTTTAATACAGAAACAAAGATGCTAAGTATAAACGTCTTAGAGCCAGAGTTTCTTATACTGCTATCTTTAAATATGATTCTCCTAGCACTCGGTTTAACTATACAATAATGGGAACCCATGCCAATTCTTTTCCCTTTGGAAGACATGAATTTCTTTGGACATGTCTTGGTTTGGCTCGGTCTGTATGTAACCGTTTTCCCGGGGACATGTCATGCATCTTTAAGCTGTGGAATTAAAACTCTGGTTCCATTTGATTAGTCTTCCCATGGGAGTATCAGTACCATGGATGTTACACCTGACTTCTGCTGCTTCAGAAACAAACTTCATTTGTCCTTATCTGCATTGAGCTCTGGTCTCACAGAGTGTCTTTTTCACAGGCATCCTTGACTACTTAGAGGAGTCTTCGGTAACGCTTGTCTCTGCTCAGCAGCCAACATTTTTTTCTGTTAGAATTCTTAACCTGGCGTTTGGTCTCGCTCTTGACTGTTTTTCTTGCAGCACCTTCTAGTAGGTCTCAGCCTGATTCATGTTTCCTTGCTGAAAGAGAAGTAGAATTTTTACAATTACCGTGGGACATTTTCAGGAACGTGTGAATGCAGGTGACTTGTGCTGTCTTGGAATAGTCTTCCAAATGCCTATGGTTTCACACAAAAAGGACCCTTTCCATTTGCAAAAGAGGAATGATGGTACCTGCTTTGTGGGGTTGTTGTAAATTCTGGACCATTTTCTGGTACGTGTGTCCTAGTAATGCTACCTTTAATCGTCAAAGATGGAATTAGTTTCCCTTTTCCTTGCTTGTTTTCAGTTGGCGTCTTTCTCCTATACTCAGAAGGCACCTTAAACCCAGAAGTGAACAAAATTTGTTAGCTTTTCTCAAGGAACAAGCAGCAAAACGGGGTACAGGGTAACAGATGTAAAAAGGTACTTGGGTATTTACTACAGGCCCCAACGTTGCTTGGACAGAAGTAGTGTAAGGCCCTTGAGCACATAGCAGAGCCTCCCCCAGCCACAGGGCGTGCACAGCCAACTCATGGTAACACTCAAGACGGGTGAGGCCATCTTGATTTAAGCTCAGAATGGACTAAGTTCTTGGGAGACAGGAGAACCACACACTCCTGTCTATCTGCCCGGCTCCCACTGTATCAGTCCTTCACCACAAAGGTGTTTTATAACTGGGGACTTGGAGGCTGAGAGAGAGACTTGCCCCAAGCATTCAGCTGTGAGGTGGCAGAGCTGAGAGTTAAGGTTTCCCTTTTCTCCATTCACTGCTTCTCTACATATCCCAGATAGCTTCATAGTTGTCCCTTGAGGCATGTGTTGTACTTTCCTGGGGTAGTGAGCCCAAAGGTCTAAAGTAGCTATTCTAATCCTCTGTCTCCTGCAGCAAGACCTGGGGTACATGAAGTATTTGTCACCTTCCCTCGGGTTAGTTGCTCCCGTATGGGCATTCAGAACATTTAACCACTAGGAATCTTTGGTCCTGGTTCTCAGCTGATTAAAATGTCTATTACCAGATCACCTAGTTGGCACCTAGCATTTGCTTCCATTGAGGGTGGGCAGAAAAATTAGTATACAATGCCAGTAGCCCCCAAATACTATTTAAGTACCTCACAGTGTAAGATTTTTTTTTTATTTAGTAACACTAATGGCCTGAATTTGTTTTGCTGTATAACAACAGCATATGGAGTAATTCCAGTCCCATGTGTGTCATTGTGTACATTTCACATCAAGAGTGAAGCCAATCATTAGAGATTATGTCCCACACCATCTGGAAACTGACTTTCATAAATTATTTTTTAGGTCTCCCTTGCCAGAATGAAATGAACAGGATTCAGAAGCTGAGCAAGGGGAAAAGCCTGTTGGGTAAGTACAATTTCTTGTCACTCATTTAAACAACTCATTAAACCATCCATGTCTCTTGTAATATTGAGCCACAGCAATGGTTTGTGTTTCCTGAAACGTGTCGCTTCATCCCCAGACGGCTGGCCAGACGTAATCTGAGGCGAGGGGAGCTGGTTTAGAATCGCTGCCTCCTCCCTTAGCTTGGGACTAGTGGGCGGGAACCCGGCCCCATCTCTCCCGCTAACCCCTCCCTTACTTGATCTGGGGAATAATTCAGGAATTTACAGACCAAGTTGTCCATTCAAGGAGGAAGACGGGCTGTACCCTCTTCTGTATTTATAAGATAGGGTTCAAAGACTTGAGTGTGCTTAAATGCATTTCTGGGTTTCAGGTGCATAATAATCCACAGAGGAAAGCATAAGGCTGTTTAGACAGTGTACATTTCTCTTGGTCCGAATGAGAACTGTGGTTTTTTCCCAGACATGCCAGTCTGTGGCTGAGGCAGAGGTAACCAATGCTGGCTTGTGGAAGTGCTCCCTGGCCGCCGCGTGTCCTCCAGTGCTCCGGGGACGTCATGGCAGTCGCACTAAGCCATGGCGGAGAGTGCTAACGCTCATTTGTTGGCCAAAGCAGGAGTCTGTGTTGCTTTACTTGCTTTTTAAAGAGAGAGCTGACAGCTGCAATACCGTAATTCAGAATTATTCTTGTTAAGCAGTAAGAAGCGGGTGCCTTGCCTAAGCAGCTTGCCGTTTCAGACGTGTACCTATTTACTGGCACAAAATGGGCCAGTTTTCTGTAGACTGTCAAAAGCAGGCAGTCTGTGAACTCTGGCAGGTTCTCCTCCACTGCTTTTTGGGTCACCTCAGAATACCTAGATACTCTTTCTTCTACTTTTGAAAGTTATTCATTGGCTTGCCTCAGATGTTTCACTTCTGATAATGCCCCTATTCAACTCAGAAATGACCTGTGTGGACCTAGGTTCTAAAAAGGCAAAGGCATCTTTCCGGTATGAAGGCAAACTGGCTGGCTGGCTCCCTCCTTCCAAAGATCTTTCCAGTGCAAGGGCTTGTGCTCACTCCTCTGATTTCCCCACGCTGCATTATTTGGGATTTGAGTGATGTACCTAAGGTGCACAGGTATAGAATTAGTATAAATCTATTTTTAAAATTTTATTTTCGTTGGCTATGGATAGCTTCTGGGTGCTTCATTATTTAATAATGAATAAGACATTTGTAAGGTATGTAGTCTGAAGTAAAATGTCTCATCTCCCATTTTCCCTACCTCACCTGAATGAAGTGCCTATCTGGGTCCTATCATGAATCCCACCTAGTTTTAAAGCTTACTTTATCACATCTCCCCACGTATGGAGATTACTCTGGCTGACTCATAAAAATATCATTGACCTTCTTGCACATGGGGAAATCTTCTAATAACGTGTTTTCAGGGGCATTTGAATTTAAAAATTAAAGCAAGCAGAAACAACCTCCAATCAGTTATAATTACAGCCCACTTAGGAAAAATGGTAATTCTATTACATTATAGATTTAGAGCAACACCTGCTTCTTACCAACCTGAGGCTAAGCCCAGTATGCATTTTTTTTTGATCAAGTGCTGTTGTTTTCCAACTAGAGCTCAAGGGGAAGGATCAGTATTTCCTCGCCTTTCTAGTAGTTCTTCTCCTTTGCAGACCTTGATTGAGAATCTGTTCACAAATCTCTCTGCTTTTTGATCATGGGGATCATCTGTTTTTTTCTTTTCTGTCCTCCCGCTGTGCACTGGCACAAGCAGATTTACCTGTCATTTAGGAATGATTTCCTATGGTTATCTGAGAGAATAGCCTGGTGAGCAGGGTGATGAGGAGTTGTTGCCATAATCAGCAGGGTCGGAGGTTAAATCCAGTTCAGAATAGCAAAACCATGGCCTCCCATGCTACACCCTTCCTTCTGGAGTCTAGTACTTGAAATAAAATTAGGCAGTAGAAAGCGAGAGAGGCAAGCAAAGACCTTTGTCTTCACATCAGTGTTACTACTTTGGTCACAGTCAGGAGTATTTTCCCATAGAAGATGAGCATGCAATTAGAAACTGAGTTCCAGAGCTTTCAAGTGTGAGGACAGAGGTATTCTCAAACCATACGTTAAGTTTACTAACCCCAGACTTACTAAAATATCACCAAAGAATTTACTCTATAGAAAAGTTCTATAGCAAGCAAGAATTAAAATTTCAGACTTTTGGGGGCAGTGAGAATAAAAGGTGGTAAGTTTTTCAGGAAGAAAAGAAAACCTAGATTAATTGAAACCTTATTATTGAATTTCCCCCAGAGAAAGAGGCATAACACGAATACTGGAAATAGAATATATCATTGTTAAAACTATAGAAGAGAAAGATGGACTTAAAAAACTTGATCATTTCGACAAAAATCGGGAAAGGGAGAAAAAGAAGAGCATGTGTATCTGTAATCACAATAAATGGACCAAAACTCATTATGAGACCAATTGTTGCTTTTAGAGGTAAAGCCATTACACCAAAAGTTGAAAGTAAAAGATACTAAAGACTCCTTTTCATAAAAAGATGACAAAAGCAAATATTTTGTCTTGAATTCTATAAACAAAGAAGGAATAGCATATTGCTGAAATGTTCCTTTTTCTTTCACCATATTAGGGTATGCCTGTAACTTTAAATCAAAAGAGAATTACAGGGAGGAATCGTCATACCTACAATTGTAATTGGACACATGATATACCTCTTGAAACTTTAGACAGAAGAAATGAGTAACATGATTAATTAGCATTCATATACATGTATTCCTATACAGAAACATGGAATGTATTATCTTTTCAAACACAACGGAATATTTGCTTTGAAAAACCTATCACAGATTAAATTCACTTGCTAAAACACAATTAGAAGCCAAAAATTAGATTATTTACCTGAACCCCATACACGGAGCGGGGGGAATATCAAAAATGAAATAAAAAGTACAAAACATTTAGAAGTAAATGAAAGTTTTGTGTACCAAAATCAGAGGGAAACAAAGTGAAACAATCAAGACTAATGTAGAAAAGCATGAGGTAGACAACTCTTTGGCAGTAGGAAAAGCTCAAATACTGTTATGAATTGTAACTTCAGATATAGGACACTGCTATAAACTTGCGGTTTTCAAACTTCAGCATTAGAATCACTTGGAGGATTTATTAAAACACAGTTTGCTAGGTCCTTCTCTCAAAGTTTCTGATTCAGCAGATCTGGGGTGGGGCCCACATATTTGCTTTTCTAAGATGTATGTTTCCAGGTATAAACCAAATTCAGGAGTATATTAAAAGGATCATTTACCATGATCAAATGGGATTTAACCCTGAGATGCAAGGATGATTCAAAATATATCACATTAATAGACTGTGGTATCTGAATAGATGCAGAAAATACATTTGACAAAATTCAACATCCATTTATGATTTTAAAAAACTCAACACAAATTAGGTATAAAAGGAACAAACCTCAACATAGTAAATGCCACATACAACAACCATCATCATACTCACTCAATGGTGAAAGGTTGAAAGCTTTTCCTTTAAGATCAAGACTAAGACAAAGGTACCCACTCTTAATACTCCTATTCAGCATAGTACTAGAAGTCCTAGCCAGTACAGTCAGGCAAGAAGAGAAACAAAAGGCATCCAAGTTGGAAAGGAAGAAGTAAGATTTTGTTTGTAGCTGGTATGTTTTAACCAAGGAAGTGAAAGATCTATACACTGAAAACTATATGACACTGATGAAATAAATCAAAGATAACACAAATAAATTGAAAGGAATCCCATGTTCATGGATCAGAAGAGTTAATATCCATAGTACCCAAAGCAATCTACAAATTAATTGCTATACCTATCAAAAGTCCAATGGAAATTTTTGCAGAGGTAGAAATAACAATCCTAAAATTCATACAGAACTACCAAAGACCTCAAATAGCCAGAGCACTCCTGAGAAGGAAGAACAAAGTAGGAGACATCACACTTCCTGATTTCAAGCTATATTATCAAGGTACAGTCATCAAAATGGCATGGTGGCATAAAAACAGAAAGATCAAGGAAAGAGAATCAAGACTCCCATAAAAGAGTTCCATAATAAATTCATGTATATAAGGTCAACTAATATTTGGTGAGGGAGCCAAGAATACTCACTGGAGAAAAGATAGTCCCTTAATTAAATGGTGCTAGGAAAACTGAATATTTATATATAAAAGATTGAAACTAGATCTCAATTTTTATGAGTGGTATAAGAAAAATTTGAAATGGATTAAAGACTTAAATGTAAGAATGGAAACCATAAAACTCTTAAAAGAAAACATAGGGAAAAAGCTGGGCCTTGGCAACGATTTTTTTGGATTGGTTGAACAGCAAAATTATCAACAAAATGAAAAGAAAACCTACAAAATGAGAAAAAAATATTTGCAAACCATATCTCTGATAAGGGATCAATATCCAAAATGTATAAAGAACTCACAATTGAACAGCAAAAAAAAAAAAAAAATCTTGATTTCAAGATGGGTAGACTATCTGAATAGACATTACTTTTTAAAGATTTAAGAGAGAGTAGGAGGAGGGGCAGAGGGAGAGAAACTTCAAGCAGACTCTCTACTTAGCACAAAGCCTGATGCAGACTTGATCTCACCACCCATGAGATCATGACCTGAGCAGAAATCATGAGTCAGATGCTTAACCAACTGAGCCACCCAAGCACCCTAGAATGGACATTAGTCTAAAGAAAACATACAGATGGCCAATAGGTACAGCAAAAGATGCTCTACATCATCAATCATTAGGGAAATGCAAATCAAAAACACAATGAGATACCACCCCACACCTGTTACAGTGACTATCATCAAAGCAACAATAGACCAACAAATGTTGGTTATGTCACAGAGAAAAGGGAAGCTTTGTGCACTGTTGAAGGGAATGCAAACTGGTACAGCCACTATGAAAAGAGGTATGGCGGTTCATCAAAAAATTTAAAAGAGAACTACCATA